AGCCTAATTGATGAGCTCCAGGACAATGAGAGATCCTGTCTCAAAGGAGGATGCACACACACACACACACACACACACACACACACACACACACTTTAAAAGGGGAGAGAGGGAACTCAGCAGGTTAAAAATTATACTCAGTCACATATCCTAGGGGCATAGGTCTGTAATGCCAGCACTGAGGCTAAAGCAAGAGGACTGAACTTAAGGCTAGCCCAGGCAACTTAGTGAGACCCCATCTCAAGATAAAAGTTAAAAAGGGCTTCATATAAAACTCAGTGATACAAGACTTGCCTCATACACAAGGCACTGGGTTCAACTCCCAGTACTGGAAAAAAAAAATCACATTCAGTATTTCCTGCCTATCTTTTCCTTGGTCACACATGCAACAGCATACAAACGCATGCCTACATGCATGCCTGTGCACACACACATACCCATATGCACATACACCTCTGGAACTCCAGAGTTTGGCTACTGATTCTTTATCCTTCCAGTCATCTTTCTCACCTCCCCTTGGTATCCCACCTACCAGGCAGGCCCATTCCTGCTCTTGATTTTGGTGATGCCACCTATTCAACACATATGAATGTCAGTCTTTACTGAACACATTTTGAAGAAAAGCTATGAAATAAATCTTAAGATTCATTTGCTCAGCACTGGAGATACTGAAATGTCTGAAGATCTGCAGATGGGTATTAAATCCACGTGGTCTCACCTCTGTGACCACCTTCACTGTGATGTCAGTCCACAGTTCTCCTTTGTGTGCCTGAAATACAATGTTTCCCTTCATCTTTCTTGAGTTGTAATGGAGGCTGATAGATCAGTTACAAGTCTGTGAAAAGTGCCCCAATAGTACAGTGCAGGCTAACTCTGATATAGACATATGGGCGCTCAGGAACTCCAGGCTGCACCTCCCAGGTAAGGGATGGCTGCTGGCAGCCTTTTATTCCAGGTCTGAGCCCCCAAGAGAATGTTCACTGCTACCTTTTCATGAGTAAACATAGGCATTGACCCCCTAGAAAATCCATGTGGGCAGTGCCCAGGGAGAGAGGAAGCGAGCAAATGGAAAACTCACTGAGTGGATACTTCTTCCCACTCAGGGATGTGATAAACCCTGATGAAATAGTGCTTTCTGGCTGTTCAGTGGTTCTGTGATACACTTGTGTGTGAGATCCTGGGTTCATCTCCAGCACCCCAAAAAGTACTCTTAGTATAAGAACCCTGGGGTTTCTACCTCATATACACAGCTGCTTTTGAGAACACTTGGAGATGGGATGACTAGCTGTAGTAAAAAGACTTCTGGGCAGCCATAAGACAGAGAACCTCAGATCCAATAAAGCCTTGAGGAATTGGCTCCCAACAATCAGACACAGGGAGCTAGAAAAGCAACAGTGACCATCGTGGGTGGGTACTACGCTTTCCTAATACCCAGAATGTATTTTTCATTGTTACTGTTCTTGAGACAGTGTTTTACTATGTACCCCTGGCTGGCCTAGAACTTGATATGTAGACCAGGCTGGCTTCAAACTCACAGAGATTCGCCTACTTCTGCCTTCAAGTGCTGGGATTAAAGGTGTATACCACTATGCCCAGTTAGAATGGACAACCACTATGCCCAGCTAGAATGGACATTTTCACCACCCTGAACACCACATACTGGATAGGATTTACCATCCTTGAAAACCGACCTAGCCGGCAGCAGGTTTTGGGTAAAGTCAGCAGAATCTTCCCAAGTGGACTCCTAGAACATTGCTTCTGGAGATGTATCTGGAGAAAGATGCTCCATGGTCAGATGAAGTTGGCAAACATACCACATTATGGTGTCATCCTGGAATCCCTGTTAGCATTTCCCTAACGTGTTGGTTATCATTGTCACTTTAGTGGCTTTTCAGCAAAACACACAGCTTAGCAGCTCTTGCTCTGGGCCATATTGCTGCAGTTGGCCTCTTAGCAGGTTTACCTTAGCAAGTTGTCTGGAGGTGGGCAGAAGAATGAGCTGGACCTAGAACCTGGGCTCCAGTCTGGGTGCTTTGACCCCTCTGGGGCTCCATAGCCTCATCTACAAAAGGTAATATTGTGAGAAACAACTTGAGCTACTATCTGTAAAAATAAAGAGCTGTAAAAAATATCTGTGGCCAGGATGCTGTTGCATACAAATCCCAGCAGTCAGGAGGTAGAGGCAGGAGGATCTCTGTGAGTTCAAAGCCAGCCTGCTCTACATAGGGAGCTTCAGGCCAGTTAGGGCTACATAGTGAGACCTTGTCGAGAGAGAGAGAGAGAGAGAGAGAGAGAGAGAGAGAGAGAGAGAGAGAGAGCCCCCCTCAGATCAGGTATACTTCCTGTTGTTTGACTCCTCAAAATGTCTTGACAAAGGAATACTTTGGTCATTCATTCACTCTTTCATTCATCCAACCTATTCTTTAGTGGCAGGTCACAAGGACAAGAATCTGACTTTGGACCCTGGGAAACTCACATGGGACAAGTAGAGCCCTTGGTATATATCTTGGAAGTTAACATATTTACACACACACACACACACACACACACACACACACACACACACATGCACATAGGATTCTGGTGGTGCTGAGGCTCACCAGGAAAAGGAGGATGCATCACTTATTTTTCTGCTGCTGTGATAAAACACTGTGACCAAAAGTAGATTTAGTAAGAGTTTAGATTTAGTAAGAGTTTATTTTGGGTTTTGGTTCTAGAGGGATGGGTCCACAATGGTGGGGCAGGCATAGTGTCAGGCACAGGAGCAGGGGCAGATTTAGTAAGAGTTTATTTTGGCTTATGGCTCTAGAGGGATAGGTCCACAATGGTGGGGCAGGCATAGTGGCAGGCACAGGAGCGGGGAGCCGAGAACTCACACATCTTCAATGGCAAAGATAAGCAAAGAGCACTAACTACAAGTGAGTCAAGGCTATGAACCCTCAAAGCCCTCCCCCAGTGACAGACTTCCTCCAGCAAGGCCACACCTCCTAAAGATTCCTTGACCTCCCAAACAGCATCACCAACTAGGGACAAAGTGTAAAAATACTTGAGCTTATGGGAGACATTCCTCATTCAATGACTACAGAGGAAGAAGGCTGGGCAACCTTCCTTGCTGAAAGGATTAGGATTCTTAAAGGATCTTAGGTGGGGAGGATGGCTCAAAGGAAGTTGACAGAACATCAGAACCATATTCTACCAAAGGGTATGAAGAATGGACCCAATGAGAACCTCCCAATGTAGCTCACCCTGCACAGAGGAAAGGATAGTCTCCAAGCAGTTGAAGAGGATTGAGCTAAGGGAGGAGGTTGCTTCTGGGGAGCAAAGCTCTTTGCAATAGGTATGGACCTTGACTTTGGAAAGACACTGGGGTCCCCTCAGAGGGAGATGCGATGCTCCTGGGGCATAGTCATCCCATAAGGAGCACTCACATACCCTGGAGGGGAGTCATAACCTGTCTGCAAGAGTGACTTCAGATAAGGGAAGGTCTGGTAGCTGGTTATTCTTCCCCACCCTGCCCCACATCTTCAGTGACAGAGTACAATCCCCAAACCAAAAACTCCTGTCACAACAGCTTTCCTCCCAAGTCCTAAATATAAAGGCCCCTTTCTGGCCTAGCCCCTCCCAATCCTGATATCCCCTACAGAGGTGAAAGCAAGAAGATGTGAAAGTTCCAGAGAAATAAGGAGTCCCAGGCAAAGAGGAAAAGAGTCCTCCAAAACATCCTCCCCTGCCTGAACTAGGGGAAAGGTTAATAAAAGCTCTCAGTCAATAAACATGACTATGTACAAAGCCCAAATTGCCCAATCTATTGCATGCCATTGTCAACCCTCATAAACCACAGAGCAGGGTACAAATGGAGGCACTGGAAACCGATGCTCCTCTGCACAGTGATGCCCAGACATAACCACCACCTGTCTTTAATTAAAATGTTAATATTTCGTTCATCATGAAATTTTTTGCATTCAGTTTCTTTTTTAAAACATTGCACCGAAGTTACTATTTATCTTGAACATTGCCAAATGTTTATTTTTGCTTTAATATTTACAAAGTCTTGTTGGTGGACAAGTGCTCTAAGCTGTCTTATTGATTCCAGCATGTTCCTTAGAAACCAAAATGTACTCGGCTCTGCAAGAAAAGTGTGGCTGCACTGCACCGGGAGTTGGCATGCTGTTTCTGCAGCTGAACTAGGAGAGCCCCAGGGACTTGAGGGCTCTGAGAAGAGAGGCGCCTCTCAAGGCCCAGAGGCCAACCTTGCCTTGTATTTCTTGGCAACATATCTTTGGCTTTACAGCTGAACTTCTGCAAACCCCGCTCAAACCCTGCTATGCACAGGCCGCCCGAGAGCATCATCAGAGAAGGCTGGGAGCAGCATTCTTGAGAGCCCTGGCCAAGGGTGGAAGATAAGCCTAGAGGGGGGCAGGGAGACCTCAAAGTGGGAAAATGGCCCTATCCCTTCCTCCACCCGCTGCTTCGCATCAATCATTGCGACAGTCCAAGCGCTCTCCTGCCCGGACTTGCTGCTGACCCTTCCACTCCACTGTAGGGAGCAAGTCGGAGTATATGCCCTGTATCGGAGGTGTGTGACTCGGAGTTCAGCTCCGGAGCACAGGCTCACAGCGCACTTGACACACCTCAGGCATCACGGCAGGTAGCACTCAACAAAGGTCTCTATCCTGGCTCTGGGGCGCGCACACACACACACACACACACACAACGTCTGCACCTCTAGCACTCTGGGCAGTTGCCCTTTACCCCACCCCTGCGGAGGTCAGCTGAGGACATCCCGTGACCTTCCCTGGACCCTATGGCGCAATGTCACCGGGCCCCCAGTCCTGGCTCCAGAATCCCCAGAGGACCCTGGAAGACGCCAGGTGGTTGGCTCGCTCCTCCTCATCTTTAGAGACATGAGAGTGGGGAGTCGCACCTCGCGCCTGGCACCCCACTCTCCCCTGAACCTCGCCCAGCACCGGTGCGTGGGGGTCTCCGCCGCCGCCCCTTACCTCGCGCGCCCTAGGTGCAGGTCCCGGAGGCGGGGGCGACCGGTGGCCCCCGCGAAGGAGCGCAGGGCAGGATTCCCCGCCCAGGAGGAGGAAGAGGAGGCCGAGGGCCCGAGGGGCGTGGCTGGGGGGTGGAGAAGGAGGGAGGGAAGGGCTTTGTGTCTGCCTCCGCCCTCCCCCGCCGCAGCTCCAGCATCCCCGCCTCCCGGGCTGACTCCGGAGCTCCCTGGGCGACTGGGCGGGGGCGAGCAGGGCCGAGGTGGCGAGCAAGGCGCCTGCGCGACCCCGGATCTTGTCGCTCCATCCCCCCCTGGTCCCGCCCACCCTCGGTGCTACCAGGGTTACAGGGAACCCAGAATGTGCCGCAGGGAAGCTGGGGTCCGAAAGTTTATCTAACTCGACGTGCAAACTTGGCAGGACTTGCCGCAACCCTGCCCCGCGTTGCTGCGCTCCCCACGGACCGCCAGAGTTTGTTCTGGGAGATTTTCCCTTTCTTTTTTCTTCATCGGACGCAGGGCTATACATCCCTATGGGGAGGGCCGCCGCTCCGACTGGAGAAGTCCGGCTGGGATGCGGGCATCAGCCTGGCCCTTGGTCTGGGACCACAGTCCCCAACGTGGAACTTGCACACCCAGCCCGGCCGCTGCGGCTTACCCTTAGGGCTGAGATGGCCAGGGCCGCCTTGGTTTGCAAGGCCCCCTTGCTGGTCCCCACCAGGCGCGAGCCTCAGGGAGGCGGGATGGGGTTGGCCCTGGATCCCAAAGTACCCAAATCTCTGGGGAGGCCACGCAGGGAAACAGCTGAGGAGGTCCTGTGTGTCGGATTTCCCCCACTTTCCGCAGGCTGACAATTAGCGAAGTGGCCGGTGTCAAAGTATCAGAGGTATCCGAAGAGACCTATGCTTTGTTCAGAAATGGAAAATAGAGACCTTATTTTTGTATTTGTTTCTTCAACCTGCCACAGAGGAGACCTGAATTTCATAGGTATAGGGACTTGCTGAAACTTGGCTTCTAAAATTCAGAGATGTACTGTTATTTACCCCTCAGCTCAGCTCTCAGCAAAACATAAGCCACCGGTCTCCTCTTTGTGTTCCAAGTCCCCTAGTTAATAATTTAGAAGCAGCTATGCGCCAGGCTCTGTTCTAACCTTTGGGATGTGTTGGAGAATAAATCAAAGATCTCCCTGCCTCCTCGTGGCTATAACATGCTGATGGGCAAGGGTGGATTACACAAGGGAAGCCATGAACATCACAGATAAATTATTGGGGTGTTAGAAAAGGTCATGATGAAGAAAAAGAAAAAGGATATGGATGCCTGGAGCACTAGTGTCTGGCCCAGTTTATAGATTAAGTAGGTGAAGTGGATGGCATAAGACCCCCTCGGCAGGTGGAATAAACACTGAGCAAAGAGAGTGTGGGGAAGATGGGGGCGGGGCTGAGGCTCTGAGGGGGAAGAGAGGTTTATGAGTATTGGAGCAGTGGGTTCCAAGATCTGAGACTACCAGAACCCCACTAAGAGCCGAGGGCGAATCACAGTAAGAGGTCATTGCAGTCACTCAAGTTAGAGATTCGAGTGGTAGGTGGGATCATAGGATTCATAGCCTGCTAGGTGGGGAGAGGCTCTGGGAGTCTCACCTATTCTCAAGGCAGCACTGATAGCTGTTCCTAAGAGGTTGGATATGTGGGCAAAAGGGAGGTGTGGACAGAGAACTGGACTGTGTCACTTTTCCTCCCTCTTAGCTTGACTGAACCCCAGGGGATACGGGTGAATAGTATAGGTTAATAATGACCTCTCCTACCCGAGTAAATGCTGAACCAGCACAATGCTCACCCCTGTCCTTTCCTTCTTATTCTTTTTCTATTTTTTATGTAGTTCCTCTTGGATATTGCTCCATGGAACACCCCACAGGTTCAGTGTCTTCCAGAAATTGGGGTCCATTTGGTCTTGTTTTGCCCCACTGTGGAAAACATGTTTTCTTAAAGGGGTCTAGGTACTGAGTCTCTATATAGGGAATTCTAAAAGGGCCACCACCAAAATATACTTCCTTAGCATATTTCAAGATGGCTCTTCAGAGAGGCCACAGAAGCAGGAATAGCTCAGAAAAGCTATGCTTGGGGGGTGGGGAGGGACTTGTACCTATAACAGAGGTACACAGTGGATGCAAAGGACCATTCTTGGGGCATTCTCTTTATCGGCCTGGGAAAGTTCATGTCACTGAAAGAAGGGAGGGATGTGAGATCTTGGTCACTGTGGCTTTCTGATGACCTGGGAGAATTTGTTCACATAATCAGAGAAACCGCATCCAGTGCATTTAGATGTCTTTTTAAAAATTATTTATTTTTTATGTGTATGAGTGTATTGCCTGGATGTATGTAAGTGCACCCATGCTGTGCAATGCCCACGGAGGTCAGAAGAGGGTATTGGATCTCCTGGAACTGGAGTTACAGATGGTTGTTAGTTGCCTTGTGGGTGCTGGGAACCAAACCCAGGCCCTCTGCAAGAGCAGCCAGAGTTCTTAACTGCTGGGCCACCTCTCTAGCCCTCCATTTAGATGTCATAATCTTTATTGGGTGGGGTGGTGAACAGCTTTTATCACAGCACTCAGGAGGCAGAGGCATGTGGATCTGTGTGAATTCTCTGTGGCCTTTATGAAGCCAGGAGGCCTGGTCTACATAGCAAGTTACAGGTCAGCCAGAGCTATAGTGAGACCTTCTCTCAAAACAGACAAACAAATAATAATAAATACATGTCTTCTTCCCTCTGTAACTTGAATCCTAATCCTTCTGTACAATAACCTCAAACCTCAGTTTCTTTGTTGAAATGCTGTTTTAACTTTTGCTGCCTACCCCTTTCTTTGAAGTATTGTACTTGGTACATAGTCCCCATGTTTCTGCACATTAATAAATTCAAATGCTTTCTTTTTCCTTTTAGCATGCGTATTACTAATTTATTTTGTAGGCCAAAATTTCTAAAACTTCAGAGAGAACAGAGAATATATAAAACCTCCTGCTTGGTGTGGTAGTGCACACCTAAAGGTTTAAATCCCAGCACTCAGGAAGCAGAGGCAGTGAATCTCTGTGAGACTGAGATTGATTGAGGCCAGCCTGGTCTACACAGTGAGCTATAGGCCAACTGGGGCTGAAAAGGGAAACCCTGTCTAAAACAACAACAACAACAAAAAACTGAAACCAAAAACAAGCAAACTAAAAAGCAACCTTCCCTACAGTGTTGTGTGCTGACTACCACTGTAAGTACTTGGGACCCAGCAATGAATTACACCATGTTCTGTTGGAACTCACTTTCAGATGGGGAGAGATGATAAGTCACGGAAATGGAAGACCCCAGAGATGCAGCAGTGTGACACCTGACCTTAGGTCCTCTCATGCTTTTACCTGCTGCTTGGCAGGTTTGCCCTATCACCAGGGGGAGCGTCTGCTCCTCTCTGCTGCAGTGCTTCCACACTCTCAGGGCACTTTCATCAGTAGGGGACCAGTTAGCCAAGAAGCTGTCATCTCAAATGAAGTTGTTTTCCCCTTGAAGTGACCGAGCGGCATTGGTTCTGAGAGCATTGTCCAAAACTGGCAACACAACGGTTTGTTTCTTTCCTCCATGTAGGAGGGCAAATAGAAACAAGTGTCCTGGGCCCATAAAATGATTGGAAATACTAGTTTGTTTAAGCTATAAAATAATAATGAAAATTATAATGTGGCAATTATTTGTTTAATGATCAGTGCTGGTATGAGGTGGCATTGCTTTGTTTAGTCTCCATGCCCTCCAAGCCAAGAGGCAGATTGAAATTATTAGAGGATAGTAGCTATCTTAGTTAGAACTTACCCAATTTAGAGCCAGAATGGATGGTGGCCCACATCTATAATCAGAGGCTGGAGGATTGCAGTAAGTTTGAGAGTAGCCGGATCTCCAAAATGAGTTCCAGGCTAGCCAGGGATATATAGGGAGTTGAAGCTAGCTGGGGTATATAGTGAGACCCTGTCTCAAAAACAGGCCTGGGGAGATAACTCAGTGGGTAAAGTGCTTGCCATGCAAGTGTGAGAACCTGTGTTTAATCCCAAGAGCCAGGACTGATGGTGCAATCCCACTGCTGGGGAGGAGGATCCCTGAGACTCACTGGCCAGCCAACCTAGCCTACTCTTCAAGTTCCAGGCCAATGAGAGACCCTGTCTCAAAACCCCAAACAAAAAACCGGTGAACAACTCTTAAGGAACAACACCGGAAGTTGTCCTCTGACCTCCACATGCACAAAATACACGTGCACACATATGCGTGTACCCACGTAAACAAGCACGTCAGAAGAAAAGAAAAGAACTACCCTTCTTGGGCTAGGGACGTCACTCAGTGGTAGAACACTTGCAAAACATTAAAGCCTAGGCTTAATCCCCAGCGCAAAAGAAAACCATACCCATCTTTTGCTCCAAAGTGGTGGTTCTTGGGAAGAAGGGAAATTGACAAGGATGTATAATTTTTTCTTTTACTTGTATTTTCATTTCATTGTCTAAAAGAGAAGGGTCAATGATTATTTCTTGACTGTGGAGTTGTTGGAACTTTAACTTTTCAAGTGATATGATTATAAACTTGGAATATTTAGGATGCATTAAGCTTAAGCTATATCTCAAACTTGCTTGCCAAGGTTCAATTCCTAGCCAAAGTGAAATTTATTAATACTTTAATAAAAACCCATTGGTTTTATTTATAGAATTGGAAACACAAGTATAGAAACAGATACATCTAACTACCTAATACTTTAATGCATTCTTTGATTTAGTGAAATCATTTTTAAATTTCCAAATGAGAATTCCATCTCTATAATCTGACATCTGAAAGCCAAATGAAAAGGAAAGATTCCATTTGGCTATGGCTTCAAAGGTTCCAACCTGTGACTTGGTCCTTCACTTTGAAACTGAGGCAGAACACAACTGCTTACCTCAGGGCAGCTGAGACACAGGAGAAGGAGAGGCTGGGGTTCCAAAACCCTTTTCAAGGGCACCCTTTCCCCCCAGTGACCTCATTTCCTTTATAAGCTCCATCTCCTAGGGTGCTATTGATAGACGGCTATCAATAGCACCATAGGCCTGGGACCAAGCATTTAGTCTATTGGCCTTTGAGGGAC